CGACGTGTCCGTCGCTTTTTTAAAAACGACGTTGTCCGTCGCTTTTTGAAAAGCATCGAGCTAAAAAGAGACGGAAGTGACTGCGTCGCTTTTCCGTCGATTTTGACCAAAAAAATGACGCAGTCCGTCGCTTTTGGCCGTCGTTTTTTGACAATTTTTTAGTAGTGTTTCTATTTACTATGTATAATCATATTTCATTGAAGGTACATGTTTTGCAACTTAATTATTTTCATTATCGGCTCTGAGGATTACCTCTTTTGCAATTAATTGACGAGGAAGTCTCAGAAAGGATTCTAGAGCAACCTTTATGTTGCTGGACGAGTGTTGTTTCACAAGGAGCTGTTGGTATTGCCTTGGCCAAGCTCTGTATTTGCCTTCTCGAAAATGTGATACTACAATGCCTTGGTCAAGCTATGTAGATCTGTTAAATCTCTAAGACCAATTCTTAATATTAAACGGGTCATATGAGACAAGCCTCTGACGGGACATTTCAGAGGCTTCAAATTATGTTCTATGTTTTACCTCAACTTGACAAAACGTGAAACTTTCAGATACCTATTTTTGCACTGCATATGTGATATGGAGTTGCATCTTTTGGATGTGTTGGCGTCATTATGGATTAAAAGATGCCTATAACCTACGTTGCTCGAGCTCTTCAAAAATATTGATGCAAAAATACACTATTGTTGGAGTATCGACACACACCCGTATATTTTCTTAAAATGTCTGAATAACCTAGCCTACAACAGCTGATATATAGTACTTCTATTCAATGTATTTTGAAGATTCCAATATGATAATGGTAACATTATTATAGTCTTCTCCATTCCTGTACAATGCAACAACAACAATCATGCTGAGATATTAGTTGTTGACTATGGCATTAAATGGTACGTACCATGGTTATAACAACCTGCAAATTGAATTGGACTCTCTTGTTATTGCAAATATGTTGAGCAATAAATCGACTAACAATATGAAGATTAAGCACATTGTGGACAGAATTACCAATCTCTTGACAGGCACAAATCACCATTTTTCTCACTGTTTTAGAGAAGCAGTGGTAGATTTCTTGGCTAAAAATGCCTCTTCAAGTGGAAATAGTACCTTCTATCACTCTTTTCAAGAACTCCCAAGAGAGGCAAAGAGATTGTTTAAACTCGATAAATGACAACTCCCTACGATTGGAAGAAGATTTGAGAAATGTAATTTTTTTTATACCTAATTAATTGTTGTACTCTCGGAAAGGAACTTGTATAGGCTACTTCCTTTCCTTTAGATTGTTTGATCAATCTCTTTTACTCGTTAGAGGCAAGGTCCATGCCCCCCTATAATATTTTGTAAGTATTTCTACTTATGTTTTACATGGTAGGGGTCTAGCCAAACCCCCCACACTCGTAGGCTCACAACCTATTGGTGATACCTTTTGTTTAAAAAAATCTTTGTATAAGAAAAATATTCTTTATAATGAAGAAACACTTTTATATTTTGTTGTCATTTACTCTTTTGGCACAATGCATTATTCGTATATTGCTAAAAGTAGTGTATATTT